ATTCTCGACTTTAGGCAATAGATTATTGTATTACATTTTTCAGATTGACCGAATATGATATTGTCAGATGTCACTTTACAACCATGCATGTATTTAAATAGTTGGTATAACTGTCTGTGCAGTGTTTGATAATGTTCAGGATATTAATCCTTGCCTTGTACTTCAGTCTGATGGCTGTCTGGATACTGTCTGGTTTCCAAACAGCTGTCAGTGCTGTGCATGCAGTTGGCTCGGAGCCATGCAGGCCTACGTGAGTTTGAGAAGATACTGTGTTTTAATGGAAGACCCCACATGGACGGGGGGCTTGTGTCCCCCTGAATGAAAGAGGGGGGTGATAAGTTGATGCCAGGGAAAATCCTCTTTGTCTTGTGGTCACACGCTCCAGTCAACCGTCAATAAAGTGAATTGTGCTGAGGAAGCTCCATGTATCCTGGCTGCTGCTCTCACTGCCTGCACCCATAATTTTCCTCTCAACAGCAATGAGGGTAAAAGCTGTACTTTGGCTATTTTGAAATTAACCTGTAGGCCTCGGAATTAATATTGATTTAAAATGTGATGCCTTGCAGCTTTGGCAGGAGCTTTCAAGGCGGTAAAACACCAAATTGGCTTTTATTGTATTATAATTAACAGTTGATAGTGTTTTTGGTTGACCTTCTATTCCAAGTAACATTTACATAATGAAATTAAACGTTACCGAAGAGGATTATGTGAAAAATGAATTTGAGTTAGGATCACATGAAGACAGAATACTGAGTTAAAAAGTAAGAATGTTGATATAAAACTAAGAATTTTGGATTTATTTGAGTTTATTGTCAGAATTAAAATGCATTTCTCACAAGTGGCTAATTCTCTTATAAAGGAAAAATACTTATTCAAAGACAAGTAACTTCGCCAAAACTCTAGGATAAAGTAATTTAAAACAAATACCCCAAATACTGAAATGTACCGACTAAAATAAATCATTTGAGCTTTTAGCTTGTTATCAGTTTTGCTAGCTTGCACACGGCCTAGGCTTAACAATTTTGTTTTAGCAGAATAGCAACAATTGTTTCCTCACCACAAAATCATTTTTGCACAATTAAGTATAAATGATGGTACTAAACTTCTTAGTTCAGGACAAAAACCTTACCAAATGAGGGTCCATGGTGTAAGTTATAGTTTGACGTATTTGCTGCAAAGTTGAAGCTAGTTCCACCGTGGCAGAGTAGCATGGATTCGGGTAAACATACAAGTTAGGAAAATGTCCACTAAACAAGTAGAAACCTAACATAATAAAAAGGAAACAATGCCTTAAATGACATAAATGTGAGACTTTAAATATGTTCCTATTTCCTTCCATATCTGAGCTCAGGTGTTTAACTGCAGACAGTGCCAAGGCAGCACGCGCTCTGCCAGCTCCGTCCGCACGTGGTCTAATCAAAACGTCCAGCCCTGTAAATGAGCTCGGCGTGCCTCTGTTGTTGTGACTGTTACTGTACGCTCACGTGTTTTTGACGTGGACAGCCCAACCTCAGAGCAATCAGATAAAAACGAACAGGCACCCATTGATTTAAATTAAGATAATGCACAGTATCTGCATCAGGATACACAAACACACATTAGGCTGTGAGTGGGCTGATTGCTGTGAGGTGACAGAAACTGCACTTTACCCGGGTGCGAATACACACTCCACATTTACATCGGGACAGCCTGTGTTTCAGAGACCTGCAATCAGTGGTAGATTACGGACCTTTGTGAAAGCATTCATTAATATTTACGCAGCTGTTTCATGTATGAATTGTAGCTAAATGATGCAACTCAGAAACTTTTGTTTCTCACATGTCTGCAAATGAACACATCAAAGTGAGTTAACTTACTTTTGCATTGGATTAAAATGCATAATATAAACAATTTAAAGAGACAACGTACCACCCGTAGCGATGATTGAGTCCTCAAATGTTTCGATATTCCTCTGCGGCCTTTAAACGCATTTGCAAAAATTAACAGAAAGGATTAAAAAAAGACATCAACAAACCAAAGCTTGAATTCAAAGATATAGCAACAACAACAAAAAAGAAGAAGCAAAACAACCTCAACTTGTGCAAAGAAGGGGAAAAGTTGTAGCCTAATGACATAACTCTGACTTAAAGCCACTGATACACAGAAAGAGAGAGGGGCTGTATATTTAGGAGGGGTTAAAGTGATCAGGAAATTATGGAGTGGAGTCCAGCAGCAGGAGCAAGGAGATGTTTTTTTGGGGGGGGCGTCATACACAGAGGGGGGATTTGGACCAGATGTTGTGACATCATGAGGGAGGGGTGAGGATACTTTAGGTTCCTGTCCTGCACACATTATGGGATGCTCTGTTCAGATGAAGGGCTGCAGTGACCCCGGCTGACAGAGCTCAGGTATCTCAGCTGCCTTTAGGAAAGGGAGGTCTGATCCACACCGTGCTCAGCTGCGGGGCAACAGTTATGCAGGATAGTCATAGGGGAAAGTAGGAAAGTGACAGCGACAAAAAGAATACACATTATTCATTTCTGAACGATTTTATAATTCTTTATCAACCATCACTCTTAATTTGGTCAACTAATCGATAAGAGGATTTGATGGATATACCCTTACATCTTCCCAAAGAAGCAAGCACCATTTAAAATCTGGCACTTAACGTTTCTTGTAACTAAATTATTCATCATGAGATTACATTAAAAAAAAAAAAGTCTCATAGTTTTGAGATAATCTTGTCAATTCATAACAATATGGCAAACCTTTTTTCCAAAGTTAATGCATTGAAATTCTTTGGGTAAAAGCAGACAAAATAATCTCAAAATGATGTATTCAAAGTAATCTGCCTTTCAAGTTTGCACTAGTGACCAATGCTTAGTCAGTCAGTGATCCACTTTGTTTTAAAAGGTATTTTTGAAGGTATGGTGGCAAATGTAATCAGATGCAGAAGCTCCAATGAGTCCTTGCTGGGTCCGGCAGTTTTGAGTAAATTAAGTCAAAGAGTGAGAACGAAGTATAAACAATTTGTGTGGTTTTACTCGTTAATGCTTGGACAACAATTCATCCCACTGTAGTAAATCAGATATTCTCAGATGTTAACACCCAGACATTAGTCTTTTCGGGAAAATTGAAAAAATACACAATAAAATTGACATACAGTGGGGCAAAACAGTATTTAGTCAGCCACCAATTGTGCAAGTTCTCCCACTTAAAAAGATGAGAGAGGCCTGTAATTTTCATCCTAGGTATACCTCAACTGAGAGACAAAATGAGAAGAAAAAAAATCCAGAAAATCAAATTTGTCTGATTTTTAAAGAATTTATTTGCAAATTAAGGTTTTGGGGCTGTCGCTGGGCAACACAGACTTTCAACTCCCTCCAAAGATTTTCTATGGGGTTGAGATCTGGAGACTGGCTAGGCCACTCCAGGACCTTGAAATGCTTCNTAGAAAATAAGTATTTGATCAATAACAAAAGTTAATCTCAATACTTTGTTATATACCCTTTGTTGAAATGACAGAGCTCAAACGTTTTCTGTAAGTCTTCACAAGGTTTTCACACTGTTGCTGGTATTTTGGTCCATTC